GGGGGGGGGGAGAGAATGGGGGGGGAAACAAGCAGGAGTGGGAAGTTCAGCTACTGCTGGAACTGAGGACAGACTTTAGAATTGTTTATATGGTGCTAGTTTTGCAGGCATTCAGAATGCAAAAGATTTAACATCATGGAGGCTTTCACTGAGCTTGCAAAGAAGGCCAGGGAGACAAGGCAATGTGTAGCAGGGCTGGAGTCCCTGCTAGGAGCCCTGATGCACGAAGTGTGATGCATGAAGTTATGACAGTGAAGCCTAAAATGGAGACCACAGGATGTAAGAGATGCCAGAATGACTGCCAAAGTCACATATAGCAGGTGAAGCCCATCTAAAAGAGAAGCTATGTGGGCTGCAAATGGTAAGACCACAGGGGTAAGGTTACTCATATCTGCTGGAGCGCAGATGATATCACCCCAAGCCCGGGAAACTGGTCATGGAGCTATAGGATTTAATGTGTGCCTTTCTGGGTTTCAGTATTCCTTGGGTCCAATTCCTCTTAACTATGCCTCTTTCTTTCTTAGAATGGAAATGGTTACTTTGTGCCCTTGTATAGTGAAGGCTATTGCTTCCGTTTTTATTTTTACAGGAGCTAGTTTCTCTTGGGTCTCAGAAAGGACTTGGGCTTTTGATCAATGGTAGGACCATTTTGATCAATGGTAGCACCTTTAAGACTTGGCAAAAATCTTATAGATGAACTAAATACATTTTGCATTATGAGATGGCTATGAGTCTTTTGGGTGGAATGTTACAGCTTTTTTTTTCCGGTCTTTTTGAGACAGCGTCTCTGGATAGTCCCGGCTGGTATGGCACTCGCTATATAGACCACACTGGCCTTGATCTCACAGAGATCCACCCGCCTCTGCCTCCCAACTGCTGGGACTAAGGCATATGCCACCACCTCTGGCTGGAATGTTATGGTTTAAAGCAATATATTTCAGTGCCAAGTTGACAAGGGTTGGACTTATGATGGTTAATCTTCATTGTAGGATTCATTGGTGGTTTCTGTCAACTTGACATAAACTACAATCACTTGGGATTAAAGAACCTCAATTGGGGGATTTCCCCCATCCAGACTTGCCTGTGGGCATGTCTGTGAGGCATTTATTAACTGTTAATTGAGGGTGGCCCAGCCTACTGTGAGTGGTGCCATTCCTGGGCAGGTGGTCCTGAGCTGTGTAACAAAAGTAGCTGAGCAAGCCAGGGGAAGCAAGCTAGTAAACAGCATTCCTCATGGTTTCTGCTTCAGTTCCCGAGGCTCCTGCCTCGGTTTCTCTCAATGATGGACTACTGATGTGGAGTCATAATAATCCCTTCCTCTCCCAAGTTGCTTTTACTCAGAGCAACAGAAAAAGTAACTAGAACATCTGAACTTAGAATCACATGGGAAATTGAGGCATACTTGATGTGTGGGTGTGGGTATGTGTGTGTGTACTCACTCGATTGTGCATGTGAAAACCTGAGGTTCATTTAACTCGGGTATCAATCCTCAGGAGAGGGCCATCTTATTTTTAGAGACAGGGTCTCTTATTGGGTCAGGGGCTTGCCAATCTGGGTAGGCTAGGTGACCAGGGGCCCTAGGGACCCTGTTTGTCTAAGCCTCCCTGGTGCTAAGATTTTGAAAACACACCACCAAACCTGACTCTTTTTTCCTAATTTTTATTTATTTTATGTATATGAGTATTTTACCTGCATGCATGCAATGCCCATGGAGATCAGAGAAGGGTGTCGGATCCCCTGGAACTGGAGTTATAGACAGATGATAGCTGCCATGTGGGTTCTGGTAACAGTACCCAGGTCTTCTGTTAGAGCAGTCAGTGCTTTTAATCACTGAACCATCTCTCCAGCTTCTCAAACCTGGCTTCTGACATAAGTGCTAGGGATTGAACTTAAGTCCTCATGCTTACATGACAAACACTTTACCTACTGAGCCATCACCCCACTAAGAATGTTTAATGGTCTAAAAGTGCATTGATGGTGAGGGAAAGAAAAGAGAGTTTGAAGGACACCTCAAGATTGTATAACTAAACAGATGTGAGGCAAGATCATATGGAGTTTGAAGAGATGGTATTGCATTTATGTAGAGTGGTTTTACAGGAAGGTTGATATGAGCTGAGGGAAAAGATAAGTGTTACAAATTAAATTTTTACTGTAATCATAGAGTCATTACCCACTGTCTAATTTTACTAAGATAAACTATAAAAATTTTCTTTTCCTGTAAGTTTTTAGATCAAGAAAGGTTAGTTTAATTCTATTCCTTAGTTTGAAGTTTTCAAATAATAAGGATAACTGCTAAGTTTATGAGCACGAATCATATGCTAGGCATCATGCTAGTACTTTATATTTGTAATCCTCAAAACCATTCTATAAGGTACCACCATTGCTTTCATTTACAGATGAGGACACTGAGATGCACAGTGCTTTGGACGTTTGCTCAGTACCATAGAGCTAATGAGCAGAAGAACCAGGACATAAACTCAAGCCATCTAGCTTTCCTTAACAACTATACTGCTTTCAAATCTAATATATAGAACATCTTAGCAAACGATACATGGTTTAGGATTCTATTTTCCTCCATCCTACATAGCCACTTGGAAAGGTTTTAACGTAGTTACCTGCAATGTGTTTGTATCCCATACTTTCAGAGTTTTATCAAATGAGCTGGATGTGAACATTCCCGTGTCATGAGGATACCACTGAACAGTCTCCACACTGTATTTGTGAACATCAGGATGGCTTCTACAAAACAGTAATCAAAATTAGAGATCACTGACTTAGGTGAATTTCAAATGTATTATATTATGAACAAGTAGCAGGCTCAGGTAGGTTTAGATCAGTCCTGTACTAACTGTTGAGGAGAAAGAATGTCTAGGTATTTCGAGATTCAAGCTTCCATAATGTGATATGGAGGTTTGCTTCCTTTCAAGGCTCATAATGTGAGATATTACTCATTCCTGGAATATATATAGCCTGGGAGATTGGTCAGTTACACTGAGCTGCTTCCATTTTGGTGGTGGCAAGATGAAATGACTGGACAAAATAACCTCTTTTGGCTTTGGAGTTGCTTTTCCCAATTATCATTCTGTCAGCATTACCATTACAACTGTTGAATGCTTCACACACCTCCATGGGATTCCACACAATACTGCTTATGAAGAACTTACTCTGTGACAAAAGAATGTCAATGTAATTCACTAATTTTATGCAACCCATCACAAAACTACATGTATCTTATGAAAGGTTATCCTGTCCTAAAAGATGCAGTATATTCCCTGAATCAGTGATCAGTACCATCTTACTGAATCTTAAACTGGCTGTTGAGATACTTTTGAGACAATGAAGGAAATGTGAACACTGGATATTTACCATCAGGAATTATTGTATATGTGAGATAGTAGTACCTATCTATTTTATAAAAGAATCTTCATTTGAATGATACAAACAATTATGGATGAATTAATGTTATCTGAGATTTACTTTAAAGCAATCCTGAGAGTGGATGAGTATGTGGTAGAGGTGAAATAAGTTTCTTAAGATTGACAGCCGGTGAAGTTGGATGATGGGTAAACAGTTCACTATACTGCTTGTTACATTTGTATATGTGAGACATTTCTTATAATAAAACAAACAAAAGATTATAGGATACTACTATAACTTTGTGTAGACAGGACCATCATGGTTCTGGTTTCTAAGAGTGAGGATGTAAGTCCCAATAGTAGACAAAGAACCCTAAAAATTTGTGGTGCTAAATAAAGGAAAGAGGCAGTCTTAAATGCCCACTCTGGACCTGAGACAGATGTAAAAATATATGAACTGCATTATCTACATCTATGTGTGCTCACAGGTTGCATAATTCTGATACAGTGGACATTTTATTAGGTTATGCAGGAACTTTTTAAAAAAAAGTATGGGGAGAAAGGTGTACACGGATGTTGGACAGTCAAAAGTGTAGACGTGCGCCCTTTTTCTTATCTGCTAAGCATTCAAACTCCTATTTGCAGGGAACCTTTTTGTTTTGTTGAGAGCAAGTCCCTTGTTTTGCTATAGAAAGCAAGGGACTCTTCTTCCTTGGCATGAAAGGCATGAAACTCTAAGTCTCCAGGGGTTAATGGAAATCCCAAGGAGAGCCAGCATTTGATCAGAGCTGTAGAGTTGGGTCTGTGTTGCAGCAAAACCCAAATGAAGTTGTTTCTGTGATATGACCTTGACTGTGCTTCCTATCTTAGCTCTTCTCGCTTCCTGCTCATTTGTAAGTTTAAGTCTCTCATCTCAACAATTATATGAGATACTAAACATCATTCCAATAAATTTCTACTTAAAATAAGTAGAATCAACTTCAATATGCTCCAAAGATTCTTGACTTCCACAGAGATTTTTTTTTTGATGGGTTTAGTTTTTAATAAAACAAATCCCTCAAAAAAAAAAAAAACCAACAAAACAAAACAAAAAAACAGGGTGTGCTGGCACATGCCTTTAATCCCAGCACTTGGGAGGCAGAGGCAGGCAGATCTCTATGAGATCAAGGCCAATCTGGTCTATATAGTGAGTTCCAGACCAGCTGGGGCTACAGGGAGACCTCATATAAAACAACAAAACAAAACAAAACAAATTCTTAATGTAGTAATCACATAGAAAAGCTCATTTATATTTTAAAATTTAATCTCAAAACAGCACAAAATATTGTATCATTTCTTATGTACAATCTGCCTTTTCATGTACATTTTGTATGCTCAGGAAAAACCAAATTAATACAGCAACAATAAATACTAGAAAATGATCTAAGCCACATTAACTTAATAAATTTTATTGACATTATTTTTAAAAATTGTATGTCTAAAATGTAAACTATTTAGACATAAAAATGCTTTTAACTCACTTTGTAAATATGTATACTATATGCCCATTTTGAAATGAAAAGTCATGCTTCTAATTAGCATTTGAACTCAGGAAAACATTTTATGCTTACAGAATTTAACTTTTAGTTTTTAGAAAGGGTGAGGAAACGTGTGTAAATGCTCTACCCCTTTTACAAAGCAAGTCCCATAACCTCCTTACTAGTTACTGGTCAGGGAGGCCCCAGGAGCCCAAAACAACACAGGTTATAGCCATTGCTGATGGTTGCCCACCATAACAAAAGGTAAGACCTAATTGCTAAAGACACAACACAATTTGGAGAGATTTCCCAAATTTATGTTTCTATGAATCAGCAGAACAAACACATGATTGTGAATCTTAGGAGCACTGATGACCCGAAGAGAACATTCCAGAGCTTTGAGAATAGCTACAATATAGTTGATGCTAATTTTTATGAGTTTCTCCTTTTCAAAGCACTTTCATAGTGGTTAGTTTCTCTGTTAAAGCAAAGGTCTGCTTAACAGCAGATCCAACAGCAGCTGCCAAGAATGATTTAAATGATTATTATGAAAAAAAAAAAAACTGACACAATGCCACAGAACAGTTTATTAGAAACTTAAAACTAATTTTCCTAAGCCTAAGTCAGTAAATAGCCAGAGAAGTCAAGATACATAGCTCTATTTTAAGTTAAGCAGTTATGAGTAGCAGACAGAGAAGAATGAGGAGCATGTGTGTATGGAGTAGGGAGGTTGCCTGTACACATCTTGTTTTTAATCCTTTTACAATGAATCAATTGAGAAGCCTAGTTTGCATTTATAATTAGCACAAAGAGTCAGGACTCCTATATTAAACTACACCCATCCAGGACTCAGGTACCATTGTGAAAAAAGGGGCGGAAAGATTGTTAAGAGCCAGGGAAGAGTTGCATGACCATATGGAAATAGAATCTGACAAGCTCCTGGGACCCTGCTCATATGAACCTACAGCAGTGGTATCAGATTGCACAGGACCCATGCAAACTCAGACAAAAATCCAGCACAGAACTGGGAAAATGGACAGCAGACCCCAATCTCAGCTGAAGAAATATTGGCAACTGATTACTGCTGGGTGAAGAGGAGTTGATCTTCCTAAATTGAGACTCTAGATAGGCTGACTAGACCTCAGTAGTAAACTTGCACTAAGGGATGTGTGGGGACACTAACTTGACACAATAGGCCTTAAGACAAATGACAGAATGTATGAATTCTGGTGGGGGACTATAAGAGGGTGCTAGTGGAGAAGAGGGTATAAAGATGATTAAGATTGGAATGTTCTGTATGAAATACACAAAAATTCAATAAAAAAGAAAAAAGATTCATAAACAATTCTTATGCTAAGTAGTACTAGAAATTACAGATACTGAGGTATTCCCTGTAAATACGGAACAAAAAAGACACAAAAGATTTTCAAAAAAATTTTTTGAAAACTGATATAAAAGCCATTTGGAGTCAGTCACAGGATAAAAAAATCTATACCTGAATTTCAATTATTTTCAAGAAAGTATCAAGGGATATTTATGTAAATATGTCAACTGGAAAATTTACTTAAGAAATGCATATGACTGCTATTTTCATGCTTTGCATTTGATGTAAAATACTTAACTGTTCACATATTCATGAATTATATTTAAAAATACACACCTGCCAATGGAACATACTGCTTTACATGTGTAATAAGGTTGTCTGGTGGAGTTCTCAAGGTCATAAAGTACAATCACACCATCTGAACCACCTGATAACATGCTGCTAATAAAAAAGTCATAATAATCACTGTATGTAGTTCATTTATTCATGATTACATATTTCAAAACATTGATCTATATAGCCAAATGTATCAGGATAATAAATACAGTTACTAATACAGACTTTAATAAACTAAAATTTCCTTAACATTTATAAAAGAATGAATGCAGAAAAAATCAATTTGTGATCATTTAATTAAAATGATTTAACTTACCTTCATGATTACAAAAAGAAGGTAGAATAAGATGTCAGAAAGATGTTTCTTAGGTAAAATATCATCACATTATTTTAAATATCTCATTATGTTTGTGCTAAGTAAAAAGAGAATTAGACTAGTTATAACTGATATTAGCTCCCTGCTCCTGGGCAAGCTATATTAACTATTTACACCTTTCAACATTTGCAAGAATGAAGTGGAGGCGCATTTTCATCTAAATGACAAAGTTGATGTGACAAATGCAAAATTAGTTTCCTTTCTTCTTTTAGAAAAGTTATTATATTCAACCTGAGTACCTACAATACCTATGGCACTCTGCTAATAAACTGTGAATAATACAGGCATAGTTCCTGTCCTCCCTGGAATTTTGTAGCTTAGTAAGAAAGTCAGATAACATACATAATCACACAAATTGTTAGTTGTACTTAGGATCATCATGGCAATAAGTTACTTTTATTTCCATTTGAAGATTCAAAGATGGTATCTTTAATTATAGTATTTAATCTGTTACCCAAAGGAGAAGGAGAAGTGGAGATAGCCAGAGATGTTTGTCAAGGTTAATGATCCAAGCTCACTCTAGGAACCTAAAGAAGGAATGTACTGATGAAGTCTGGAAGAGAGAGTGGTACACAGGTCATCCACTCATAGTCTTGTTTTTAATAGTAAATGGGTGCTAAAAAGATATGAGAACATCTTAGGAAAAAATTCTCTCCTACTGGTCTATTACATGGATAGAATCTTTCTACTCAAAAGCTTTGTGAAATAATTTCTAAATAGTAAAAGTAACGTGTTAGAAAATATACTGAAACAAAAAATTCTTTACATTAATTCAACTCAATGTATAAAATTAACTTATAAAATACTGTTTTTGGCACTTTATATTTTAAGCAATTTCTCTGTACCCGCTTTTAAGGATGCTACTAGTTTTTAGGTTTTTTTTGTTTTGTTTTGTTTTGTTTGTCTTTTTGAGACAGGGTTTCCCTGTAACCCCAGCTGGCCTGGAACTCGCTCTGTAGACCAGGCTGGCCTCTAACTCAGAGATCCGCCTGACTCTGCTTCCCGAGTGCTGGGACTAAAGGTGTGCACCACCATGCCTGGCTTGCTACTAGTTTTTTTAAAAGATGATTTCTTTTCAATTATTTTAATTTTCTTTTTTTCATAAAATTATCTCAAATAATCTTTGCATCTGGAGTTGTTGCTACCTTCAGCTGACTTCCCGACAGCATAATACTCCCAGTTTGGAACAATGGGTGGTAAAATATGGTAAATTCAGAGCAAATCCTAGGAGAGGGGCTTTGATTCTCCTTTCTCATAGTGGAATGTACAAGTATTTTTCACAGTCACTACTTCTGTCTTTTTACCATCATTCAGAGTAACATTCTGTTTATTACAGGAAAAACTCATTGAGCAAGTTCTCTATTTTGTATTTCTTTTGGATCAAACTTGAATACTGAAAAACTTTGGACATTCTGAATTTTATTTTACTATTATGCAAAATATAGTTACCCAATTAAAAACAGGTAAGTTATCAAAGGATTCTTCACAAAGGTCTAAACAATGGAACCTTTCTCTTCGAAGTTTTGTGACTTTTATAGTAACCATGGACTTTCTCTTCTGAATAGTACATAATTTGCCACCCAAAAAGTATCTCATGAATAATAAATACTAGCTTTGCTCTAAACCGTTTTAAATATTTACTATGTCTCTCACTCACCTTTCTTCCTCTTTTCTCCCCCTATCTTTTTCCTCTCATGATTTATTTGTGGCAGAAGCCAGGTCATTCCTCCTGCAATTTCTAGCTTAGACTTTGATGACTAAATTTGTATACTGAAATTTAAAATGATCTTTCATTATTGGTTTATTTCCTCTGATGTGATGTCAGCAGTCAAACCAATTCCTAGACCCACAAATTTATGTATTTATATAAAGTATTGTTATTTTCTATTATCATCGGATATCATCAATCCTGTCCCTCTGGTTATTCTGGCTGTCTGATTTCAACTCTAGTAAAAAATGATTTCCCATTAGTCTCTCTTAAAGTATCAACTATACTTTAAAATAACAGCTAAAGATACATTCTATACTGAAAAGCCTTCTGCATTCAAATTAAATTCTTCATTTACTGACTTAACATGAATGTATTTGTGCCACAAGAGTTTGGAAATGTGTATCTGGAACATATTGTAGATCTGATGTTCTGTATGTATTCTGAATGAATACAGCCAATTCAACAATTACAATTAGAAATTTTTACTTATTTTATGCAATGTCCACTACTTAACCTGAAAAGGCAAAATTCTACTGCATCTTACTTAGAAAGAAAATGGTAATATATGTATAATAAACTTACTATCTTCCTTCAACAGATTCAATGTCAAGAGTGTTAATTCCACTGCCATGGATTCTTTCAACATCTCTGTCTTTGTTTAACTCCAGTTCCAGTACCCTTAAAAAATTAAAAAAGATAAAACTTACCAATAAGAAAAAAAATTAACATAAACAAATTCTTCATTTCTCCACGATTACATATAGTACTACAAAAATTGTAATAAGTCTTTTACACACATTTAAAGATGTTTAGATTTGTGCATATTTTCTATAAGCTTTTAAAAATTAAGTTACTTATAATTGCATGCAAATATTTTCATTTGAAACGTGACTTTAAATTTTATTTAATCAGTTTAAGTTGGTTAAATGATATTTATAGATAAAATTTCAAGAAAAATATTAAATTCTGATAAACTTAATTGAGGACACCTAGTGGATGAAAGTTTAAATTACAGAATTTTAAAAAATCCTCATAAATGTTTCCTAAACCTGTAGAAACATAAAACATGTTTAATGCAGCAATATAAATGAAGTGATTATTTTCCTTTCTTATCAGAGCTCTGGTCCCAGGAGGTGGGACTAAACCTCTTGCTTTTTTACCTGTCTTCATACTTCTGAGCCCAGCCTTGGGCTCAAATCTGGAAATGTGTAGTACAACAGGAAGCAGAGCCCAAATTTCCTGGCAGGAGGACCAAAATGGGAGTTCTAGAAAGTTGAGAAATATGAGAAATCACAGCAAAAGTGGAGATCAAGATGGCCATGCCATAAAATAATTTATGGACTCCAGGGCTCATCACTCTAGAACATGCATGGATCCGATCCTGTGCATCATGTAAAAGATTCTAAAGACAACTAACTACCAAGTAGGTCACTTCCGGATCACAGAGTGGCATGCATCTGTGGCACATCTAAACTGACACTGAAACCACAGCCCACATATGGAAGTATGACCCTACAGCCTAAACCTAATCTTATGAATTGCTACCAAAACAAAAAGTCAACGCTCTTTGTAGATTAAGGCAAGACATTGAGTCTAGTGACAGTACTTGAAATATCTAGGCTGTAATTCAAAATTTTTCTGCATATGAAGAACTGTGAAAATTTCAACTTGTATGGAAAAAAGAAGAATCAATGATAACATGGACTTTGGAATTATGTGAAAAAGACTTCAAGGCATTTACGACAAAATGCTTGAGTGAGAGATTATAAATGGTCAGTACTAGAGTGGAACTGACCGAGGCAAATATAGTAAACACGAAGATAGAAAAATTAAAATTATACAAGCTAACAAAAAAAATTGGAGGGGTAGAGAGAAGAGAGCTTAAACTACCAAAGGAACAATTAAAATAGGACTAAGCCTGGTGGTGCATGCCTTTAATCCTAGCACTCTGGAGACAGAGGCAGGCAGATCTCTGTGAGATCAAAGCTAGCCTGGTCTACATAGCAAATTTCAGACCAACTGGGGCTACTAGGGAGATCCTGTCTCAAAAAAAAAAAAAAAAAAAAAAAAACCCAGTCCAACCCAACCCAAACCAAACAGAAGTTTGGTTTTTGGTTTGATGATTAAAAACAGTTATAATGCTGTCTGGTGGGGTATACACTGCTTGTAAACGCAAATGTAAGGCAGCAGCATATAGAATGGAGGGTAAAGGGTGCTAAAGTTTCACATATTCTAAACGAAGCAGTAAAATGATTCTAAGTAAGCAATGAAAAGTTATGCAACCACTAATATATATGCACATACATATTACTATATATAGATAGTAAAAATCATGACAGATAAATTTAAAATGGAGTGCCGAAGAATATCCAAATAAATCAAAAGAAAGCAGGAAAGGGGGAAAAGGATATGGAGTTAAGGCAGGCTCATATATTCCTGGGAATACAAAACACTTGTGGAAAACTGTTAAGTTTCTTAAAAAAGTGAAGCACCTAGTGTTTCAGTACTGTGTACTAAATCGTTGAGAAACAAAAGAATATGTCCACACAAAGACTGGAACATGAATTCTCATAGCCGTTTTAAATGAATAGGCCCCCAAGTCAAAAATGTCTGCCAACAGGTGAGTGTCTAAACTAATTGTGGTATATCCGCACAATGGAATGCTCTACAGTAATAAGAGATAATTGATACATGCAAAAAAAAAAAAAGAGAGAGAAATTTCAAAACAGTTATGTTGGAAAAAAGCTAGACTAGAGGATTCCATTTATATAGACTGCTTGAACATATAAGCTAATCTAAGACGATCAGAAGTTTATCGGGTAAGAAGAGGGTAAAGTAAGGGAAGGGAAGGATTATAAAGCACAACACTTCTAGGATGATGGATGCTGGTCCTCTTGAGTATGGTGTTGGTCTCAAAAGTGTACACGTGGCAAAACCCATCATATTTTACACTACAACTTTAAACTTATTTGGGGGCGGGGGTGTTGAGATATGATCTTACTATGTAGCTAACTAAATCTGACCTGGAACTTGTTCTGTAGCCTAGGCGGCCTTGAATTTGCACAGTCCTAGCTGGTCTCAAGCTAGCAACCTTCTTACCTTTGCTTCCCAGGTGCTGTAATGTCAATGTCCAGCTTGCAAACTACAATGCAATGTGCAGTTTATGTCAATTATATCTCAATAAAGTCACAACCCCCTTTAAAGGGTGCTACCTGTGAACACTGCCTAACAGCACTTATTTATGCTTTTGTCCTTAATGGTTGACAGGGAAGGACAACAGATATCCTTTTGGAATAAAATAGGACTTTACAGTTGTTTAGTTAAGCAAAAACATCACAATGAGAATTTTACAATGAATGAGAATTTATTTAAAAATACAAATAACCTTTAGTACTTTAAATAGAGAACTAACTTTCACTCACAGTCTGATATGCATTAGTTTCAGTTCAGTAATTTAGCTGAATACTAGACCCCCATTAACATGGTTCAAATTTCAGTTGACGCAGTATATTAACTGAGATATAGCACAGAGCAAAGTTCACTACTAGCTATTCAGTCTAAAACCATTATATAGACAGCATGTAGATCATAGTTAGTGACTAATTTACATGACTTCTTTCAAAGTCTATAAGACTGGTTATTGTACATCTGTTATTCAGTTTACAACAACATTGCAAAGCATACAAGTTTGCTATGTCTGTGCCTCAGAGAAAAACCCACATGAAATTTACAAAAAAAGATGAAGGAACTGGTCAGTACAATGAAAGTACACCAAAGAAATGAAAAGTGATAACGCTGGAAGTGAAAGGCTAACAACATAAATGGAGTTAAAGAAACATTAGCTGAGCATGAGAATGTTCACATTGCTGGTCATTTGACAGACTACATAGAGGAAATCAATGAATGTGGACTTATAGACATAAATGGGGAAAAGTGGTTATGATGAAAAGCCTAAAATGTCCCAGAGGAAGTGATGCTGGCAAAAAACCAAACCAAACCAAAAAGAAACTTCCCTTGGGAACTCTCAGAGACATTTCACAGTACTGAAAATGTAAGGCTAGAATGTTGGCATATGATCCAAGCTTAGAAAGATGCACAACAGTCAGATGGGCTTTAAGAAAAGACTAGCCTTATGCAGTGAGAGGGCAAGTACAAGGCTCTCCTTACAAAGTGAATTTAGTCTACTGCTTTACATTATGGTGTATTTATTAAACAGTACTAACTTTACTATTGTTCATTTTCCTATGCACATTCACTATAAATGTAAGCTTTCTGTGTTATGACAAAACAACTTAAAGTTTAGGAACAATTGCAAGCCCCCATGAATTAAGAGGACCCTTTTTTTCAAAGGTTTCACCTTACACAGTTTTTTGTTTCACCACATGCAAAGAAAGGACTGACTCTTTCCTTGCTGGCTATTGAAGTAGAACTACACGGGCTGCACATAGCACCAGGTCAGCTTTGTCCAGGTCATACACTCCATGCTTCTCAGAGCTGTTCAAAATGTATTAATCTATTTTAGTTGAGTAAAATTTTAGGGCATACACAAAGAAATGACCATGGACCTTTCTCAGACAATGGTTATTCAGTCCTGAGTACACACGAGAATCATCTGGGGGACTTACAAAGTTCCACTGTCCTTCCACACCTTGAATCAGTCTTTGAGGGGGTAACTTTGGCATGAATATTTTTTCCAAATACTTCAAGTGATCCCAATATTCTGGCAAAGTTAGGAATTACTATCTTATCGTTTTATGTCCCTCAATCGCTCATAATTATCGTCTCAGTCATAGCACTCTGTTTTAAGCAATTTGCTTAGCTTGAGTATTTTTAAGTGGTCTACTTACTTTTTATAACATCAAGTCCCTTTTTGATTTCATATTTTATCAGTCTACATTAAAATTAGATAACAATAAGTAAAACTGGGTTAGGGAAAAATACTGTCCCGCTTTCTTTTTCAACTTAAAAGAACAAAATGTCATTAAATTCCTCCAGCTTTGCATAAACCAATGCCAACAGTTTTGTCCCATCTCCGTGCCAGTTTTCTTAACCTTTCTGAGCCACAGGTGGAGTGAGGGCAGGGGCTGTAGCTCAGTGCAGAGCGCTTGCCTTGTATGCATGAGGCCCTAGGTTCAGTCCCCAGTACTGCCGTTGGGGGGTGGGTACCAGTGGCTCTGAAGGTCAGACAGGTGTAGTATAAGATGGGGCTGCCCTAGAGCACAGTCTGATCTTGAAGTTTATGGTCAGCCACACCACCCAGGGGAGGTCATGGTGACTGCCACAAGTCTTTTGCTTTCCTACTTGAGTGGTGATAGTGACAGTACATATCCTGGTGTGAGGAAGGTACACAGTACTGGAGCAACGGGGCTGAAACTGTGGACAGGAATCCTTGGCGAGGGCTCAGGTCTCTAACTGGGTCCAACTAGCACTTTTGCTGGAGATCTGTGGAGAGCTGGGGTTCACTATCATAACAGCCCTGGCCTTAGAGGCCACAATCCTTGGTAACCGTTATTGGGCCTTGAGTCCATAACAAGGTGGTGATTCTGGAGCCCAAACCAGATGTGTTACAAGGTGGCCTGCCTGGCAGCTGAGTGAGCAGGTAGTCCTGTGAGATGCCCTACTGTGTCATCCTCCAGCATGTATATTCTACCAGGCCAGAGCTGATGGCCAGACATACTTAGCATCGGGCAAGGCCTTGGTGAGGGCACACAAACTACTTTCTGTCTTCATGTATCCCTTTATAGGTTGTCTGAAGCCGCTTGGCTTGGAGTCAGAAGGTCAGGCCTATTCCACGTCCCACGCAGGGACTCTTAGGAGTTGGCATCTGAGGTCAGTTTGTTTCCTACATTCTGCACCAAAATAAGGCTGTTTAGGGGCAGAACGTATATTGGGGGGGGGCATGTACCTCACTGCAGCCCCATTGTGGCCTGAGCAGTTATGAGTACTGTCTGCTCTTACAGAGGACCCAGGTTTGGTTTCCAGCACCCACATGGTAGCTAACAACTGTCCATAACTCCCAATTACAGAGGATCCAATACCCTCTTCCAACCTCCATGGGCACTGCACAACATGGGTGCACTTATACACATATAGGCAATACACTCATACAGATAAAAAAAATAATAAATAAAAAATATTTTTAAAACACTTTTTAGCCAGGAACTCAAGTTCTTCCTTGGGAATCACACTATGCAGAGAAATGAAATCCATTTACAGGTAGGTTAATCTAGTGATTTAATTAAGAGACCTCTCATTTATTTTGAACTTTTATGTCTTCTAATGAAGTGAGAAATTTAGGTCATGGAATTTTGACAAAGACCTATACTTAGGCCTTCCTCATATCAACTATATTTAGAAATTAAAAGAGTTAGAAACCAAACTTTTCAGTCCTTCAGTGGCTTACTTAGTGTTGCTATTACCAGAGTTCCAAACACTTAAGGACAGGGGAAGAAGGGGATAATGCTGCTTTAAAAAAGTAATGCAGTTTTTCACTGAAATTAAAGATGAAGCAACAGGCAAGTTTTCCATTGTTTCCTTTGCTAACCAATAATGGAGGAACTGCAGAACAACTTCGAGTAACAAGTCAGATTATCAGAGAAGACTGGCAAATACTGACACACATGAACTTTGCTTGAGTTCTTACAGTCACTGGAACAAAAACTTCTGGATATGTCTAGTAGACTGCATGGCTCAGTTGAACAGTTACTGTCATTTTTATACTAACTGTGTGAAAGGAGGTCAGCAGCAGACACAAGCCCAATGCTTAGAACTAATCAAAATGTGGCTTTAAAAAAAGATTTAATGTATTTAGTTAAAATAACTTCAATTGTTTTGAAACATGCTATTCTAAATATGTACCACCAAAATGGAAAAATGAAGATAATACAGCTTTTAGTATATAAAAAGCACACAATTGTTAAAAACAGATAATGGAGTATATCAAATTATTTATTATTTTTGTCTGTTTCTCAGTTGAGGTAGGTTACTTGGCAAATGGCTTCCAGTGGTCTCTGACTTCCAGTATTCAGGACCTTAGGTAATTTCCTCTCCTTGAGTGAGCCAGATCTAGCAACTCACTTCTGAAGACTGGAACATGACAAAATGACAAGATGGCACTTTCAAAATTAAGTTATAAGAAGAGTCTTGTTTCCATCTTACTCTGAGCTGTCTGCTTTGGTGGAAGCCAGGTGTCATACTGTGGTCTATGTAGCAAGGAATGGAAGGCAGCCTCAAACAAAAGCCAGGGAAGACTCTAATCCTATCTACAACCACTTTAGAGAGTTTGAAACCAGATTTTTTTTTCCCCTTAGATTTTTGTAGTGCTAGCGATTGAACCCAGGGCCTTGCATATGTTCCTTGAGCCCTCTACCACTTAGGCAAGATACATTTTCATCCCATTCACCTTTGAGACATGGCCTCACTACATGGTTCAGGCTAGCTTCAAATTCTAGTCTCTTCGTTACATGGTTCAGGCTAGCTTCAAATTCTAGAGTCTCTTGCCTCCACCTCCCAATGCTGGGATTTTTAGGCATATGCCATACCTGACTTTATCCATTACCTTGATTGTAGCCTATAAAACATAATGAACTTGGGGCTGGAGAGATGGCTCAGGGGTTAAGAGCACTGACTGCTCTTGCACAGGACCCAGGTTCGATTCCCGGCACCCACATGGGAACTGTCCTCTGTCCTTAACTCCAGTTCCAGGGGAATCTGAAACCCTCTTCTGACCTCCGCGGCATTGCACTCACATACATGCAGGCAATACACTCAGGCATAACTCCAGTCCAGCGGAATACAACACCTACTTCTGACCTCAACAGGCATTGCATGACATGGGTGCGCTCACATACATGCAGGCAATACACTCAGGCACATAAAATAAAAATAATAAATTAAATTAAATTAAAAAAATACTAAACTTGAGAGAGGATCTATTTCAGACAAATACACATTCCTGACATTTTGGGACTTTGAGGTACCAAATCTTTCGGTTGTTTTTAGCTGCTAAGTTTGGTGAATTTTGTTGTCCCAATGATGGGTAATGTGCACCTGAGTTCTTCCTTGGAGATACTAACTTATCAGTTGGCCAACAAGCAAACTGTGCTCCTTGCTTTTCTAACCCTATCAATTTAAATCTTTTTAAAAAACACTTTTATTACATTATTTATTGAAATAGTAGGACACAGGTGCTACTGCGCGCGAGTGGGGGGTTAGAGAACAACTTGGAGGAGTCGTTTCTCTCCTTCCACCTTGTGGGCCCTAGCGATCCAATGCAGGTCCTCAGGCTTAGCAGCAAGCACCCTTACCTGCTGAGTCGCCTTGCCCGCCCAAATTTCAATAAATAATGTAATAAAAGTGTTTTTTAAAAAGAAAATCAAATTTCCCATAACAGAATTATATATGTAACTACTTTATACACGTAAGTGAATCTCTTCACAGGATCCTCAAAAACACTAGGACAAAATGAAAAGTTTGCTTCCCTCTGGAAAACCTTGAGTATAAGATCAGCATTGAACCGACAAGGCATATATCTGAGAATCAGTATTCACGCTTAACTTTTCATACTCCACGTATTCAATCAATTTCTTGGCTATTTTTAAGTTCTTTTCTTTTCACCTGCCACCTCCCTTCCCTAGTCGTCCATCAGCTCGCTCGCTCCTGGAAAACTCCAAGTTGCCTAACTTCACTTACTCCTGCTCCATCTTTATTTACGTTTTCCCAAGCACACACGGCTCTTGCTCATGTGGCTTTTGCCTACTTCATTTTTTGCCAGTGGTCCTGCTACCCAAACTCTTGGCTCCAACCAGTGGTTCCGGTTCTAAACAGGCACGGTAGAGGAAAGGGGAAGGTTCGCTTTACCTCCGTGTGGACTGAGCTCTACGGAAGCGAAGCGGGTCCTCCAAACCCGCCTGTCGAGCGTACAATAGACTCAACATCACGTCTCCCTCTGCTCACGTCGGCGGTAGCCCTGGAAGCTGACATGCCAGAGCTTAGACCAGGTTCTAACAACCGAGCCTTCCATTGGCCAATCAGCGATACAGTCTGACCAATAGAGAGCGGCGATACTTGAACGCTCGGGGGCGGAACTCCAGTCTGTGGGCGCGGCTTTGCGTGGGCGGGGCCTCCTGACCCGCTGGGATCTGCACACTCTGAGCAACGCGCTGGCATGGGCTGGTCGGGGGGCGTTCTGCGCACCCTGTGGAGCGCGCTGTCAAGAGAGGTGAAGCAGCACGTGGGCACCGACCAACTGGGGAACAAATACTACTACATCGCGGAGTACAAGAACTGGAGAGGTGAGCGGGGCTGCGGGGTCACCCGGCGCTGCACTCGGGAGGCACTGCACTCCGGCGTTCCTAGAGGCCCGCGGCACCCTGGGGCCCAAGCCTTCCGCGCTGCCGGTAGCTGTGGTCAGGGTTCTCCGCGGAGGCCTGGCCTCGGGTGTCGCGGTCTCAGCCCCGGGAGTTCAGAGCCGCTGCCATGAGCAGCGAAGTCTGGACCTAAGCCCTCCTAGATGTGCGGGAGGGGCTCGGGAGGATCGGAATGGACTGGGGCGAGTGCCCAGCCCGAGGGGAGTGATTGCAGGGGTGTCGCTTCACCAGAACGTCGTCCTCAGAGATTGCGGGCTCCTTCGCCGCGTACGTCCCCTTCTGACAACCCAGACCTATCAAAGTAGGTCCGGACACACTGATCTTTTCTGATCCTCCGCTTCCTGTTCTCCTTCCCTAGTCCCAAGACCCCATCAAGGTCGATTTCAGAAACGTGGCTCTAATCGTTTCTGCCTAGTAATGCCGAGGGTTGTTGCGGGCTTAGGAGACCATCCTGTCCTTTGAAATCACATCACTTAGCCGCTCTCACAGCCTTTTCTGTTTTCCTCTATCGCCGGGAAACAGGTCTCAGACTTTGAGGAAGACAGGAGTTGGTTTACAACCTCAGCTCTGACACCTAAGAGCCGGGGGGGTCAATTCTCATCACGTCTCAGTATTCTTACTTGAAAGTTAGAGATAACAGCAACGTGATGGTGAGCTGCAGGAAGACTCATGTGTTTCATTAATTTCTCGCACATATTAACTGTATTAAAGTTTTGTTAATTGTTTTACTTAGCCTTTTTCTTTTTAAAAAATATTATTTATTATTTTATGTGTATGAGTGTTAGGCCTGCATATATGTAAGTGCACGGGCAGAGACTGCAGAGCTCAGAAGACGTCAGATCCCCTGGAACTAGAGTTATGGATGGTTGTTAGCCACCATATGGGTGCTGGGAACCGAACTTGGATCGTCTGCAAGAGCTACCAGTGCTTTAATCGCTGAGCCATTTCTCTAGTCTTGCTTAGCCCCTTTCTATAACTTCTTACCTTGGGCTTGTTTTCCAAGTGAGCTTTTAAATGCTGTCAAGGCTGTTTTCTGCTTCCTGTACCCAAGCAATCTCATCTGATCTCTGACACACTGTATTGATTTGCATTTTCTACAAGTTTTGTAAGTGGAAATACATAGCATGTTTTCCGACTTCTTTCTGGATTCTTAAGTATAATTATTTTAAAATTCATCTCTGTGTACCAAAATTTTAACCCTGTTTAACTGATACTGTTCCAGTGCATGGAATATATCATAATTTGTTTGCCTATTCGCCTGCTCATAGATCTTTGTGTTATTACCAGTTTAGGACTGTCACAAATAAATTATGAACATTTGTGTATATGGCTTTGTATGGACACATGCTTTCATTTCTCTTTATTGACTATAAGTAGAATGGCTCAGCCAACTTGTAGGTGTATGTTTCATTACATAAGAAACTGCCAAAATGATGCACCATTTTACCTTCCCAGCAGCAACACACAAGATGTTCAATCCTTCCACACGTAATATGGTCATATGGTCACTCTTCACTGCTTAGTTGATGTGTAGAGGTATCTCTTTGTGTGTGTGTTCTTTTTACTATTAATAAATTGGTTTATAAAACAAATTATTTTTAGGAGCTGTTTTGATGGCTCAGTAGTGTAAGAGCTCTTGTTCTACAAACGTGAGAACCCAAGTTGGAATCCCCAGCATCCAGCATCCATGTAAAAAGGGGAGTGTGACTGCACGTGCCTGTAACCCCAGGATTGGCAGAGCAGGGAAAGGCAGGGAGGGACCCTGTCTCAAGGCAGTTAGGCAGAGAGCACTAGAGGAAGACAACAGGCATTCTGCTCTGGCCTCCACATGTGTGTGTTCAGGCATGTTCAGTATGGCACACTTATGTTCATACAGCATACACACGACACACAATTTTTTTCAGGTTAAAATAGTATAAATTGGTGTACATTTGACATTCTGACACATAAGAAATTCATGTAACTTCATCACAATTAGGATACAGAACAGTGTAATTACTTTCAGTAGCTACTTCATGTCAGCCCTTTGTAGATATTCTTTTTCCATTGGTAACCTTGGCAACTAATTTATTCTCTGTCATTTATAGTTCTGCCTTTTTAAGAATATTGTACACATAGAAATATACCATATGTTAGTTTTTGAAAATAACATCTTATGGGGCTAGAGAGATGGCTCAGCCTTTAAGAGCACTGGCTGCCCTTGCAGAGGACCCAAGTTCAATTCCCAGCACCTACATGGCAGCTAACAACTGTCTATGACTCCAGTCCTAGGGGATCTGACACCTTCTTCTGACCTCTGTAGCACTGTACAACACGGGTGCACTTACACACATACAAGCAATACACTCATACACATAAAATAAAAATAAATAATAAATAAAAGGAAAACAGCATCCTTCATTCAGTATAATAATGCCTTTAAGATTCATTGTATGTATCAGTAGCTTGTTCCTTTTTATTGCTTTCTAAGATTTCATATTATGGAGGTACCATAGATTGCCCATTGAAGGGTATTTGGGCTACTTCCAATTTGGGATGCTTATGATTAGAGTTCACAGAGATCTGCCTGCCTCTGCCTCCCAAGTGCTGGGATTAAAAGTGTGTACCACCACACCCAACTAAGATGGGTACTTTAAAAAAATGTCTTTTTACTAATTCTTTGAGAATTTCATACATACACACAATGTATTTTGATCATATTCACTTCCTCCTCCCCATTAACTCCTCCCAGACTCTGAAGGGTACTTTTTATAATGTGTGTGTGTGTATGTGTGTGTGTATGTATGTGTGTGTACATGTGTATGTATGTGTGTGTGTACATGTAAGCCAAAGGTTAATGTTAGGTTTATCTTCTTCAATCACTCTTCTACTTCTTCTAAGACAGGGTCTCAGTAAGCCTAGAGCTTGCTGATTTGGCTATACTGGCTGGCTAACAAGCCCCAGGGATCTTACTATCTCTCCTTCCCCAGCACTGGGATTATAGGCCTAAACTGCAGGGCTGGCTTTTACATGGGTGCTGGGATCTATACTTTGGTCCTGATGTTTGCACACCAAGCACTTTACCTACTGAGGCATCTTCTAAGCTCAGTTCAGATTTTTAAGAAATACCCTTTATAAGGTTAACAGAGTTCCTTTGTATTCCTAGTCATTTCCCACAGAACATGTTGAGCTTATTGTTTTCAGTTATTCATAAAATTTCCTGATTATTCAAACTTTTTATGCACATTTATTGTGTGTGTGTGTGTGTGTGTGTGTGTGTGTGTGTGTGTGTCACAGGTGTGAAAGTCAGAGGACAACTTGTAGGAGTTGGTTCTCTGTACCATTTGGCTCCCAGGGATCAAACATTTCTTCATGCTGTTGGAGCCAATCTCACTGGCCCCATTCTTGTAATATTTGTAGTATTTGTAGTAATAGTCCATGAATTGGTCAGTGATTATATAATATTATACCCCATTTTAAATGCACAGTTTTGTGTGTATGACAGTACTATGTTTTAGTATATTTGTGGATATATATTTAAAGCAAATTATTACATTGAATAAAAATGTTTTTGCTTTACTAGTAAATTTTTTTCATACTTAGTAGGTATAAAATTATTGGTGATAAGTCATATGCACTCTGTATATGCCATGTTCAGAACAACCAAAGGGATTTATCCTTTTGCTGGAAATGTACATATATAAAAATTTAAAGATCATCATTCTGCATCATCATTTTTAGTGAGGTAAGTTAGAAACCATCTACTGATGGTTTTCTTTGGTGTTCTGAGTGCTGGCCATGCTTTTTAGAGGAGGTAGCTAGAAGTGCCTGCAGCTTTATTGATCACCGTTCCTGGAGCCATCTTCATGTCTGATTTCAAGTCATCAGCTACAAGACTGCCAAAGACCTAGATATGGCCGAGCATGAGCATTCTTTCTAATAGAACTACTCTGAACTTGTTGGTAAAAGGCCAGACATTGTCAAAGCTTTTCTATTGGAATTTTAATTCAGGTATATTATATAAAGAGAAAAGGAGAGTATGAAAATAATTGGGAATCAATAGATGTCTGTTTTCTCTATTTCCAAGGAGACACAGTGGCACCTAAGTCAAGAATTCCTCTTAGACCACCTAGGTAGGCACTCTTAGATCCTGAGTCACCTTCCAGTTCTCAGTTGGACCTTGTTTTCCAACTGTTGAGTCTGTCCCCTTCTTTCTTTCTGAGTCCTTATAGTATTCCCTGTTACCAGAGGGAGCCATGTACTCTTGGTTTAGAGGAAATGAGACCTTGATTGATGATAACAGAGAAATGAATCTTGTGTACTGCTGTCTGGTATCTCTTAAGTACCTGATTCTTGATTATTGAAGCCAGAGGCACAGACATTTTCTTTGCTATGTGAGACTTTCTTGCATTTATACTATATATTAGAATTAAGGAATTTTAGGATTTTGGAAGTAAAACTGTTTCATCTGTTCATTTTGACTTTTTTTTTTTTTTT